TCATATATTTTATATAAATATATAAACATACATATTCATTTTTATATATTTACATATTTTACATATTTATGTAGATATTACTTGTATTATACATGTGAATATACTCATACATATATATATAATATAAATATATATTTAATGGAAACACCATTTTCATGAATTCAAATTGAAAAAGTTCAAAAAATAAAACAAAGTAAGATTGAATGTTCAGCAAACGTTAGGTAGAGGAAGTCACTGTTTTCTCCATCATTGGATGCATTCTTGACCATTCTAAGTTGGAGAGTGGTAAAAAATGGATGTATTCCTTCATTCGACTGAGTCCTTCACCCATTGATTCACCCAGCAAACCTTTACCCAGCATGTCCATCGCCCCAGGCCATGTCCTGGGGGTAGCATTAGAAATGAAACCCTCTTTCCATCCTAGAACTGGGCATGAAAGATGGGGAAGTACGGGGACGGAGTGTAAGTAGGCTTTGGAGATGGTACCCACCGTGCCAAGAGGAGTCTACACGCACCCCCCAACCCCATCTGCCAGGAGTGGCCAACCTTCTCTAGGAAGCTCCCCCAAACCCCGTGTCTCCAAATACAGGTAGGAGTCCATGTGACTTAACAGTGGTGGTGAGTGCTCGGGGAGGTCAGCCATACACCTTCGAACTGAGAAGACAGGACGTGTGGGGGACCATAGCTTTGTGGTCATAGCTGGAAACTAGAAGGTGTCTCTGGGAAGGGTGTGGGGAACAGCATCGAGCTCATTAAATGCCCCAAATCACAAGACGTGCAGTTTGCACACTGTCCTGAATGCAAGCGGGAGTCAGTGCAAGATTGCACAGAAGGGGTGTGAACCTATTTGTCATATTTAAGAGCACTGCCCCCCCCCCCCGACCGCCCTACCAGGGAATGTGCTGGATGTCGGGCTATTCTGGATGTTGGACGATTCTGTTTCAGCAGGGGACGATGTGTGGGCTGCAGTCTCCCCATTTCCAACAACCTCTCAAAGTGATGGAGATCTTGCTGCTTCCTAAGGATCCCCCAACTACTAGAGGGCTCACTCCAGCTGTAGCCGTGATGGTCACAATCAGGGGTTTCCGTGGGGGGGAGGGGGCAGTGAAAGGTGTTCAGTGGGAAGCTAGAGCAATTAAGACCACCCTCTTGGGGGTGGTGAGGACAGGGATGGGAGCGAGCGCCATTTTACACCTGTATGTTCCAGAACTGATCAAGCACAGTGGTCAGAGAAGACCAGAGGCACTTGGTCGTCCAGAGTGAGCTTGGTCACTTGCAGCAAAGGCAAGAAGGATAAGCCATCGGGTGAGGACCCCACATGTGCGCTTATCCCGAGTGGTCCTTTAGGAGGGCTGCAAGGAGCAAGAATTTGTTCTGGGTCCGTGGCTCAGGATAATTTCAGGTTGATAACTTTTAGGCAGAAAGGGAGAGGAGCAGAGCAGGTCGAGACTTGTCATCAGCAAAGAAACTGGAGTAAAAGCAGATATTGGAGTAAAAGTAGATATTGGGTCATTTTTGGTGGTGCCCACCATGACCGAGCCATGAACCATCAGACGAAATCTAGCCTCGGCTAAGGCGGCAAAAGGAATACTTTCTCTGCAGAGCATACTTAGAAAACCTACATATAATTGTGTTTTCTCGAGGCGAGGGTTTTAGGGAAAAACCGGAAGTCTGTCTGCTCTTATACATTAGTCCAAAGCGCAGAAGCAGCTAGCTGGGAGGAACAGATGGAATGCATTAAAGCAAAGTCTTCACACCTCTTGTCGAAGGTCAGTGGTCCTGATACAAGTGACTTGGAGCTTCCGGGTAATGAGAAAAATCGCTGGGGGCTTCAGCCGGCAGAAGCTTTGGAAAGAAAACTCTTCTAAGCTCCTCCTTCTCAGGTCCTGAATGCAGGAGCTTGGAATCGAGTGCCTCCGTGGATGTAAGAAGGAAATGGGGAGACACATCTCTGGCACCCCAATATACACCCCTGAAGATGTCTCTTTAAAAAACTGGGAAATCAGATGATGCTTAATTGCAAATATTGGAAGCGTTATAAAGCTTCAGTGGTAAGATCTGTTTTGAGTGCTTATCTAGTCTCTAATGTACTTGGTTAGTAGAGAAATATCTCCTGTAGGAATTCTGGAAGATATAAAAAAAAAAAAAGAAAAGCCCATCATCTCTCTCTGCCTTGAGAAAATGGATAGCTTTAGATTTTAGAACTCTTTTCATGTAGACACACCCCCAGATACACACCCCCCCACACACACAAATACATAGACACACATTCTGATGCATAAACAATTTTGTAGAGTGTTGCTTTATTTTTTTTAAGAAAAACATAATTTATCAGTTTCACCTATTGTCTTACAATTTTAGCTTCCTTATGTGTCATTAATCACTGGGATCTCATTTTGCTGAAATAATATTTTTAGACACCTGCTGTGGTTGCATCTCACCTGAATGGATGAATATAGGACAGGAAACTTGGCCTATTAAAGTAAGAGAACATAAAGGAGACGGAGGTACACAAGGAAACAGGGTAAATAATTCATAACCTAAGAAGAAGGAAACGTGACCTGCTGTAGATGTTTACCGCGTGCGTTATAAAACCCGTTTTTGAAAGAAGCCACATTTGAATGCCGAGAAACCACAGAGAAGCCCTGTTCCTAGCCAGGTGTGCTGGTGACCTAAGCAATGTGGCCTCAGCATATGCTTTGTGAAATACCACTTATTATCATAATGCCACGAACCCCAGTGCACTGAGCTGTCCCCATGAGCAGGGGGAACCCCACTTCCCAGATGTAAGCAGGTGTATTATCTGATCTGACTACAGGCACCAACCCCATGTGCCTGTTTCGGGAGCTCTTTCCCCTGGAGGAGCATCCACACTCTGATGGAGGCCCGATCCCAGGAACTGGCATCGTCCTGATTAAAAAAAAAGGAAGAAATTGAGGGAGGGAGGAAGGAAGGAAGGAAGAAAGAAAAGAAAGAGAAAGAAGGAAAGAAAAAGAAAGAAAGAAAGAGAAAGAAAGAAGGAAGAAAGAAAGAAAAAGAAAAAGAAAAGAAAGAAAGAAAGAAGAAAAAGGAAAGGAAGAAAGAAGGAAGGAAGGATGGAAGAAAAAAAAGAAAAGAAAAAGAAAAAGAGAAGAAAGAAAGAAAGGAAAGAAAGAAAAAGAAAGAAAGAAAGAGAGAGAAAGAAAGAAAGAAATTAGCAGGACATCTGGTTGCCCTGGGCACCCATTACCACATTTTTATTATAGACCTAAATGCAATTCAGCAAAGAACACGTTTTAACCTTGTTCTTCCAAATCCCTTTGCAATCGCATATAAATGTATCCAACACACTAACAGAGACAGACATAAGGCCCAAACTAACATTTTAAGATGTGCCTCTCTGTTAATTTAGATATCATGTAATGTGGAGAGCTGAAGTTTTGTATTTTAAATGAATTATTGGGGTTAGGGAGGGCGGCCAGGGAAAGTAGCAATTCACATCCTATCTGCAAAAAAGTATGCAAAAGTATCAGAGTGTTGGGTGATTTCTGTGTGCTAGAAAAACAGCAACATTCCTTTTATGAAAAAAAAAAATTAGCAGATGACAGTAATCTACGAAATGATCTGGATCTCCAGAATTATGCTATCCTTGTTGGTATTTCGTGCACAAAATTAGAGGAACGATGACCTTCAATTGTAATTAGAGGAACGATGACCTTCAATTGTAAGCCATGAAAATTAAACCCTACATTTA